ATATATTTTTACGCTTTAACGAATTCAGTTTGTTAATAAACCCTGCATAGATTTTACACAACTTACTTTTTTTATTCGTTTGTCTACTTATAGTTAATTACTAACCAGCTTTGTGAACGAGAAATACTTTGCACGCTTTAACGAGTCAATTTATACAAATTACAGAATTATGCCCTGATTTTTATATAATTTTTCCTAACTTCTATAATTGCTTACGATCATTTTACATCTTTACTTAGCAGTTTAATTAAAATAGCTTAATTCTTCGAAGTTGCACGTACAATTGAAAAAAGTGCTTTTTGATACATAAAACCTTACAGAGATTACGGAATTTTGCACAGATTTTACATTTCTAAATCTGGAAATAAGATAAAAACACATCTGTCGATCTAACCAATCAAATCATGCGACTGATTTGCTTCGTACAAGTGACTATCTCTCAACGACCATCGAAGCAGAGGCTGATTCATGCATTAAACACAATTTTCCATTTTTGAAAGTTATGAATCGCTTAGCTAAGCAGAAACCATTCTTCTCTCTGAAATGAATGAAAAAGCTTCTCATTTCCGTAACTAATTACGTTGGAATTACCTTGGGATTGTGACGCGTCACGCGGTAATGAGCCTCTCTATACAACGCGCCAGGGATGAAGTAGATATCTGCAACGTTACGACTCCTCCCGTTCTAAGTTCTTGTCTCCGAAAAACTTCAACGTGGAGTAGAGCTTCCATATAAAAGAAAACACCTGTTGATCCTCCCGGTTTCTGTGGAAAAATGGAAATTTTGTGGTCAGGAACCGAGTCGTTTTCAATCCCATTCTCAGACCTTTGCTGCAATTCAGTATAATTAAGATTACAGGGGACCGCAGTGAAGTGCTTGAGTGTGAAATACCCACACTTAAACTGCACTTTAATTGCTTTTCTGTTCGATTTTATGTTTCCGAAATGACACTCTTTTCGCCTCTGCTGCCTGTTACTGCGGTTTATGGTGGAGTGTTTTTCTTTTATTAGAGGCCATGCCTGTTTTACTCAATACCTTTTTCGCCTTTCTTTTTTATTGTCTCAATGTAGAAACGATGAAAAATAAAAGCATGGTCAATTTTTTTTATTTGAGAATTAAAAAATTTAGAGATTTTTGAAGACATAAAAAGTTCTGGATTAACAATATTTCAGTAAAGATTTACAAGAAACTTTCTTTGAAATTGGAGGAAATTATTGAATATTTTGGAATTTAAAATTAGGATTTTTGTAAGTTAAATGTTTTAAATTTAAGAATTTAATATATACTTTTTTAAGATTTTAAAATAAGAGCTGACTGAACATTTTAAGTGTGAAGTTTTTAGCTACGTAAAGAAAAACTTTCATATTTTTCTATATTTAGTAGTAAAAATAAGATAAAAATTAATTTTTTTTTAAAATATTATAGTAAAATTGTTGAATATATTTACTAAAAAGAAAGCGAAATTTTTTTAGGTTGATGCTAAAAGAATATTAAATGTGGAATTTTCTGTAGATTTAGAAGGATAAACATTTTAATAAAGCAAAATTTTCATTTTAAGAATTTAAATTAGCAAATATAATTTAATAATGAGGAAAATAAACTAAAATCATTGTTGTTTATTTTTCGAGACTAACTCAAAATAGATGAAATGAGCAGAAATTTTGGAAAATTTTAGAACAAAATTAAAAATTAGCAGATTTTTTCCTAGCCTTGAAAGAAAAAAAAACGATGCGTTTTTCAAGGAATTTATAAAACTCCCCATTCTTCGAAAAATTCCCTATTTTTGACAGAATAATTCAAAAGTAGGGAATTTGCCCACAGAAGTCACGAAAGTAAAGAAATTTTATAAAGAGATTTGAGAATAAACGCCCCAAGCAACAAATTCTGTAGGAGTTAGGGAACTTTTCTTAAGAGAAATATTCCCTAATTTCTTTAAAATTCTTTCTGATAGTCGAGAAAAAAGTCAAAAATAGATTTTTTGAATAATAGAGAAAAAATAATTCAAAAAAAATATCGAACGAAAAAGAAAGCCTTAAAAACCAGTAATTTTCCTTAAATATTTTGTAATTTACAAAATTTCTGAAGTATAAAAGAGTAGAAATTTAAAAATGCAAATGTTTTCACTATTATTCAGCGATTTAGAAATGGAAGAATATTGAAAAGTCGAAAGCAAAGAGATTATAAAAGTGATTTGCTGATTGTTTGTAAAGCGAATTTGAAATTAGAAAATTCTTAAAATAAATCTGTAAAGCGGAGAAATTTTTAAATCAAAGACAAAAACAATTTGAATATTCAAGAGAATACCGAAAATGATTCAGAATTATAATTAAAGGAAGTGAATTAAATCAAAAAGGAACATTCCCAGGTGGGTCCATTTTTATATTTCCGTTTTCGATATTTAATTTTATTCTTATCACATCCCGACAAAGCCTTTGAAACGTTAAATAAATTCCACTGACGTAAACAACTTTTCATTTTTCCTTTCATCTTAATAACTGTACAAAATAATTTAAATACGTAACCAATTAGAAAATATGTTTATAAACGATTTTACAGCATCTATAAACTATTTTGATTCCTTGCAACCTGATTAATTTACCGATTTCTACACTTTTACATCTATCAAACTTGACATCTGCAGACTAAACTGTAAGTAGTGTATTCGGTAAAATCAATAAACAAACTACGATATTTATGATCCTTAACTATATATTCATTACGGGACAAGTTGAAATATCGATTAAGCTTAGACGAACAGACAAGCTGACGTTCCTTCTTTTTAACGCTCCTATTTACGTTGTTGTGTGTAGACGATCGTTATACATGGAAAGTCTAACGCTTTGTTATTGAGTTTATACTAATTCCTGTCTAAGAAATGAAATTTAAATGCTGTAAAATTTAATTTTTAATTTAAATCAAGCTTTTAATCTGGAAAATCTTAAATTGATTTCACATAATTAGATAAATGCATCAGATTTTGGTACGGTTGAAGTTGATATATTTAACTTTGGATTCGCCATAGTTTAATAAATAAAACTTTAGTTAAACTAAACTTTCATATTTTAAATGAAGAATACAGTTTTATAGCTGTTTTTCCATAAAAATTTCCATTTTAGTTTGAAGCGATGCCGAAGATTGCATCGTATTTTGGGCAGTTTAAATTCAAACAGCAGTTTGGATTTACATTTTCAAATGTCGAATGGTGCCAGTTCAGCGATGTAACAGTAATACAAATTTTAGATTAAACTTTGAACTTATTCCTGTTAAAGGATAAAGAGTTAACTTAGCTTAACTTTCGAATTATTTAAACACAGCTACAGATTGAGATATGGTCAAGTTTACATTTTGAAAAGTCCGATCAAGCAAGTAATGATTTTTAAAATATTTTTTATTTGTGTTATATCAAGATTTACCAAAAGTCGCTTTAAAGAATTTTAGTGTCAACATACCAGGTGTGAAATATTTTGCTTTGGTGGCTATGTAAATAACGAACATTTTACATATCTTACTTTTTTAGACTGCGGTTATGCTTGGGCATAGGCTACTTGAAATGTCTGTCTAACATAACATCTTTATGCACACAATAGTATTAAGACCTATAAAAATGTTATCCAATTTTCATATTTTATATAATTTTTTAACTAGGAAACTTAGTTTTAATCACGGGCGTCGACAATAATGGACATACATATCCCCTTAATATTTTTGTATCGGTAAACTGTCCCTCCCCAATATGTATTTTTATTTTATATCATACTATAAAAATTAAGGATAGAAACAAGTACAATGTATACAACAGGTACTGTACCCTTTATTTTTGTACCCACTTGAGAAATTTTTCTTAGTCATTGTCATTGGCCCGTCCCTCCGTTATATATAAGGGGGTCGGTTCTGTGATTTTAGTTAAATTGATTGAAAACATTGGATATTTTGAGATTGGTATAAGTAAGTATTCGTTTATATATATCGTTAAGATAATTTAATAAAACTAAAATTGAATTAAAAATAAATGCTTGATTATTAAATAAAAACATAAATTTAATTTTAAGCTATGTATTCGAGTTTGTTATTAACAATTTTATAGAACTCTGTCAGAACAAAGCTGAATATTCATAAGGTTTTTGAAGTTCTTCAAATAATTTAATACTACCAATAATAATATAGTTATTGAATTTATTTAGTGTATAAAAATTACTATAAGATTGTTTGATTATTTTATCGTAAATTTAAATTTAAAACTTTACTTTATATCGAAACAAACCAAAAGAGATTTCCTCAAAGGTTCCAATTTGGGAAGGATAACAGTGAAGCAATTGGAGTGGTTGTGTGTGTTTGTTTAACAAGATACCAAAAACTTTCAAGGCCTTATTGACGTTAAATGCAGTTATTTCGAGTCGTAAATAGAAAAGAAATTCGAGATTTACAATTTTTAAGTATCGTAGGGATTCGGATTATGATCTTTATGGTCGCTTGTTAATAAAAGTAATGACACTCCTACTGTTTACTACGTATACACTTTATAAAGGGTCCGATTTGCGCGTTTTTTTACACGCGTTGCAGGTCTATGGATTGCCAAAAATTGCCTTAAAACATAAAAAGTAACCCGAAACCCGTTTTGCCTCCTGTCGCCGCTTCCTCAGATGGTACTTCGCGTGAGTAACATTAAACTTAAAGTTTACTTGGCGGCATTTTTGAGTTAGTAAAATATTTTTGGTATATATTTCTCCATCTATAATTTCGTCTCTAACGTGTATTTTTATGCAGAAAATTGAATAATTTACTTAGATTATTGTATATAATAATGGCTGTTTTCTGAAGCATTATAGACCCAGCTGATCGAATCTTAATTTCTCTTCAACGGCGGAAGATGTGCACCAAGCAAAAAATTCATTTTATCTGTTGAAAAGCGTGAAATTTTGATATATGAACTTTAAAAAACTTAGTTATTAGAACTTTCTATCCACTCGATGATTTCTAAAATAAGTGATTTTTCTTTACAGAAGGATAAACATGAAGTTCTAAAGGGTGAAATAAGGAAAAAAGATGGATAAAGCGCAAAAGAAGAGAAGTAGGTGGAAGTCTCTATTTCATCTTTTGGTGTTCTTAGCGATTTTTGTGAATGTGCGAGGGGAAGAGTGCGAATTTAAACTAATCCGCCCAGAAAGCCAAGAAGCGGAGGTGATATGTCATATCCCCACTTTGACGTCACTCAGGACGAACTTCACTCTCCAGATCGAATTTGTGACGTCACTGACTGTTGTCTGTAGCCGCGACCAACCGAGTCAACTAGAAAACAGTACTTTAGGTCAGTTAAGTTGGTTAAAAACACTGAAACTGGTTCACTGCGGAGTAGCCAATGTCACTGCGGAAGCATTCCATGCTCTGAGTGAACTACGCGAATTAACTTTATTAACAAACAACGAAACACAACTAGACATCGAAATCTTGGAGCATAAACAGTTGGAGATATTGAATCTAGCCCATAACAACATAAATACCTTGTCCTTAACCGCTTTTTGCGGCCTTCCAAGCCTCAAAGTGCTAAATTTGACATACAACTTCCTCGAGGAGTTCATCCTGGAAGGATGCCTGAAAGAACTATTAAAGCTAGACTTATCTTTTAACAATTTAGTGAGATTACAGCCTCTACTTCTTCCCAATCTTCGCCTTTTAAATTTACAACACAACAGATTGGAGTTCCTAAGTCAAGATGCCATCACATCGTTGAAAAAGCTACAGAGGGTATACTTTAACAATAACGAATTAAGCAGCATCCCAGAAGATTTTTTCGGTGGGAGCACAGATATTAAAGAGATTCACTTGCAGAATAATTCATTAGAAGCTCTTCTTAATTGTTTCGGAGGCCTTCAACAATTGTTGGTACTGAACGTCAGCTTCAATTTACTTCGAAATGAGCATCTTAGTTCCGATACCTTCTCGGATTTGATACGTTTAGTAGTGCTAGACCTAAGCTATAATCGTTTGCAGAGGATAAATATCAGCATCTTCCAATCCCAATACAGTTTGCAAAAACTCTTATTGGATCACAACCAGATAGAATGGATTTCTGATAACACGTTTTCGGCACTGTACAACCTCCACACTTTAATGCTAGGCGGAAACAGGCTTAAGGTCCTAGAAAGTTTTACGTTAAACGGATTGTATGTTCTGGCAATTCTCAACTTACAGGATAACTTTTTAGAAGTTATACAACAAGATTCATTCCGCAACTGTAGTAGCATACAGGAGTTATTCTTGTCTGGAAACAAGTTCCAAAGCATTCCAAGTGCCATATCATCTTTGCAGTTCCTCAGACGCCTAGATCTATCAGATAACGTTATTAACGAGATAAATAATTCTTCTTTACAAAATCTTAAACACTTGCATACTTTGCAGCTCAATCGCAACGATATTGGTAACCTGACTAGAGGCATTTTTAAGGATACTCCCTTCTTGAAACGCATAGAATTGAGCGAGAATCGTATACAAAATTTGGCTCATGGAATATTTGACGAAGCTATTGACGTGGAGGTGATAGAACTGAACGACAATCTTCTAACAGATATTAATGGCTTATTCATGAATTTACACAACCTCGAGCTGCTTAACGTATCCAGAAATAAGATAACGTGGTTCGACTATGCTCTTGTTCCGCATCATTTGAAGAGCCTAGATTTACATGATAATGAGCTGGATATTTTAGGTAACTACTTCGAACTTGAATCCGATATGACTACGGAAATTTTGGATGTTTCATATAATTTATTAAAAGAAATAAGAGCTTCGTCATTCCCTCACAGTGTTCAGATGCTCAACCTCAACCACAACCAAATTACCAACATCAACCCGTTTACTTTTATGCTCAAGACGAATTTAACACGTATCGATCTAACTTATAATCTGATTCGCAATCTGGATATGAATTCTTTACGCCTACAGACTGTTGATATACCACCTCAAATTTTTATCGCTGGTAATCCTTTCTATTGCGACTGTACTATGGAATGGCTCCAGAGAATCAATAATTTGGACACTAGTCGACAGTACCCGAAAATTGTGGATCTGGACAGTGTTATGTGTGAATTTCCATTTACTAGACATCATAAAAGTTTACCACTCTCCAAAGCCAACACTTCAAACTTCCTGTGCAACTATAAGAGCCATTGCTTCGCTTTGTGTCACTGCTGCGAGTTCGATGCCTGCGATTGTGAGATGGTGTGCCCTGAAAACTGTACATGTTACGCAGATCAGACTTGGAATACTAATGCTGTCGATTGTAGTGGCGGCAACTATACTTCTATCCCTCTACGCATCCCCATGGACGTGACTGCGCTCTATCTGGATGGGAACGATATTTCCCAGTTAACTAGCCATACTTTCATCGGGAGGAAGAATATGCGCGTGATATATCTCAACAATAGCCAGATTCTTACTATAAATAACCGTACCTTCAACGGTTTGACATCTCTCAGAACTCTTTATTTAAATCATAATCGGTTGAGCATTCTTCACGGATTTGAATTCGAAACGTTATATCACTTGCGTGAATTGTATTTAGATCACAACGAAATCGTTACTGTGACTAACGTTACGTTTATACCATTAAAATCACTGGAAGTGCTCCATCTGCATCACAATCGTATTGCAGAGTATCAGGTGTGGATGCTGAGCCTTAATAGACATTTGAGTGATGTCAGATTGGGAAATAATCCTTGGAGTTGTGGATGTAGGTATGTTGAAGACTTTTATGATTGGTTACAATCAACAAAACAGGTGCAGGATGTAGAAAGTGTGCGTTGTTCGTCTAATCAGACTCACGGGCTCCTCATTCGCAGCTTCAACTCTTCGACTCTGTGCAACAATCGTAGCTCCATTACTTATTTCCAGGCTGTTTTTATAGAAGATTACATACCTGTAATGATCACTGCACCGTCTGTGCTGCTCCTAGTCGTATTTGTGTTAGTAATCGCGTGCATTTATAGAAAGGATGTTAAAGTGTGGTTGTTTACTAAATATGGCATCCGTCTTTTCCATCGCAACAATTACACTCCCGAGAACGAGAAGCTGTTCGATGCTTTCGTTTCTTATTGTAAAAAAGACGAAGCCTTCATTGCGCAGATTCTAGCCCCCGAACTTGAATGTGGGAACCCTCCTTACAGACTGTGCCTTCGTTATAGAGATTTGCCCTCTGCTGGCTACGTTGCAGAAGCCATTTCGGAAGCCATCGAGTGCAGTCATAGGACCATTGTGGTGCTGTCAGAGCAGTTTTTGAAGAGTGAATGGTGCCGTTTCGAATTGAAGACGGCGCATAGAGAATCACAACGCAACCCCAAACATAGACTGGTGGTAGCATTACTCGATAGGGTTTCCTTCAAAGAGATGGATCCGGATGCCAAAATGTGCTTCCACTCCTCTCCAGTTATACGCTGGGGAGATAAGAGGTTCTGGGAAAAGTTACGCTACTCCCTACCGGACGGGAAAGTGACGGAACCGAAAAATCACCAGTTTTCTCCACCTTCTAACTCCGTCAAACTGGTTTAGTGTTGTATATTAATCTTTTTATTTAAAGAACCCGATGGACTGAGTACCAATCACTACGCGTGCGAAACTCGAGTCCAGTGCCTTTCACTTGGATTGTACATCCGTCGAGGGCCGATTTTACTAAATAACAGAGTCGTTTATCCTAAAAAAAACTCGAAGTGACTAAAATGCATCCTTATTCAAGTGCATTCCAACAGGGCCCAAAGTCCTTCATTCACTAGGATGCGAATTCAATGGTTACGAAATAACTTATACCCACCGTTACGTTTACAGAAGGCCCTTACTGTGGTATTATACAAATCTGCCGCTGGAAATCTCCTGTGATCTGGTATAGAGCATCGGTGCTAAAGCTTCACAGCATGATAGAGGAGGACTGTGATAGTGAAGAGCAGTCAGTGACTTTTCGACAAGTCTTTTCTTTTTTTTTCTCTGCCCATTTCTATGTAAGCTTTACAGAATCAAAAAAATAAGAGGAAGAACTTTATTTATCTTGTGTAAATAATTTTTGTTAATAAAACTTCATCATTTGATATTACGATTGTTGGAATAATTAATGATGGCTGCAGAATATGAAAGAAAAATAACTGGAAAGAGAAAGAGGATCATTAATCACGACCACACCCTCGCAAGTACTTAACTCGATGAACATGAGCTACCGTTTTCATGAGAAGAGGTCGAATTAAAGGTTCCAATTCTGACAAAAATCCTAGCCCTAGCACATTACAGATTAATGACTCAGTCCGTGATATGTAAAATGTTCAAATCTCTATGAAACAGACGTAAATATTAGATATTTTTAACATAATTTCTTACTATAAAAATAGTATTAAATCCAGAAAAGATCATTACTTTAAATTATTATGAAATTTTCTGATTAGGCTGGAAATGTCAAATATTCGACGTTTGACAGAATATAATTTCCTATTTTGGCTTAAAAAACCTAATTAATAATAGATCTATCTAACTTATACTTTTAAATTGTTATAACAATTTAAGATCCAGTCTAATTTTTTAAAATTAGCTTAAAAAACTACATCTAAAATAATGAAACTCTAGAAACAGCTGATAACAGCTTTTTAAATAAGTGGATTCTATGTAAACTATATTTAAATAGAGTTAATTAGAGAAAAATCATTAAAAGCTGCAATTTTAAACATTATAATTCAGAGATCTAAGTCTAAGATATATATATTTTTTTATTAAATCAATCTTATTTAGACTTAAATATTCACTATGTTATTAGAAAAACCTCCAACATGATTATATATTTGACATGTTTATGATAATTAAAGCACGCTATCTACATTCCCACGCTCTCATTTCACATATCATCAATTTGAACAAGTTTAATATTGGAAACTGGTACCAATCGGTGTTTAAGGACCTACCAATGAGAAATGCGTTCCGAGTTCAAGGTCTGTGGCATCTCCGAGTGAGTAGGAAAAACTTGTTGAAGGCAAATTACTACTCCTGGATACCACAATCGCTCTATTATTGTACGATTTGCATTCCGAGATTTGTATCTGATCTAGAGACCACCAACATCACTTGCCACCTTTCATTTTCGTCTAGCTGCTGCTATCTTTATCGCTACTCATCTCTTGACTGATTGCACCATTACCTAGTGCATGCACAAATTAGGCGAAAGGTAAATTAGGGTTTCGATAGGAGATCTTGTTCCCACTTAATTCGATACTTTGTGAATTCTTCACACCTCGAGATGCGTGCTAACGATGTTTCTTAGTTGTTGAATTTCCTCCAACGTTTAAATAACTGTAAAAATAAGCTGTAAAATTACTTATTCTCTGAGGAAAACTTCATAAAGAAATGTTTTTGGATTAATTTTTATGTTAAATATAGAAAGAACTGCTCATATTCGGAGGAATTCTGTGCCTAATTCAGTAGAATATGGATAATATTTGACCCACTAAAAATCAAAACGGATGAGTATATTAGTTTTTAATTAATTAATTAATCTAGAGAACAACGTAATCGAAAATAAAAGTTCGTTTATTAATATTAATACTTCTTAACGTGACATATCCTTGTCTATTCTTCTTATAAACTGTTTACAGAATCGATTTTTGAAGAAATACAATTGTTAAAATCGATTTTCGACACAATTTTGATGTCATATCCGAGAAAATTACGAATATAAATTTAAATCAATTTATGCTAGGACCGAGGACCGAGTATTTGAGTTACTCGGAGCATGAGGACCGAGTATTTGAGTTACTCGGTCCTCATGCGACCCTCTATGACTTTTCTATGGCCCGCATATTATAAAAATCCTTAAACATAGTTACATTATAAGTAATAAGACTATAATCTATAAATTTAAAGGCCTGGAAATGCGTGCAATTGTAATTAATCGTGTTGCAACGTCGAATATTTTCTTTAATATTGAAAAAAACTATTCGAAAAGTTATAACCTCAATTAAATAATACGTACTGTACTTATAAATTTANAAATATGAATCATTTTAATAATTATATTTATATAACATACAAAAGATGCTACTGGCTTATAATCGTTGTATCATTTTCAAACATCCTGTTACCAGAACTTTGCCTCTTAACATGCTATCAGAGTAATAAAAATAATGTGGCTTAAGAAAAAGGGCAGCTTTAAGCGTACTTTAGAGATAATTGTGACACGATAACGTAAAATTTATCTCCCATGGGTGAAAAAAAGGGACTCTAACTAATGTTGAATTAAAGGAGAGGGCGAGAAGCTTTAATGAGATTGAAAACAGCCAGGAAAAGAAGAGAAAAAAGAAACTAAGAAAATAACAATTACAAATCTAGTCAAGTAGACAAGACATTAATTATTACCGTTGTAGCAATTGACAGCATTATCCCGAGGACGAATGCAAACCAGTTATGACCAGTCGCACCGGTGGTCCTCTTTTGTACCTTTGTTCCCATAGTAATATTATAATAAGAATTAAGTATGAGCGAACAGGACTCTTTCCGATAATTTTACAGCGAGTAGAAATCTCTAGAAAACGTCCAGAGATGTAAAATTAGCCTTACGCTATTCGGTTACAGATTCCCACACTACTATAATAACAATATTCAATTTGAAACCCGCAGAGAAAAATAGGCAGCTGGGAAGGGGGTAAAGTATATATACGTTTTAATAGCCAAGCAAGACCGAAATGAAGACATGTCTGTGACAGAAATCTCCTCCCTCCGCTTGACAATCAAGATCACGTGATGCTGTCAAGGTACTGATTACGGTGGGTCCAGGCCTGCTATTATACAACTGATGAGGTCCCGATAGCAGATGGCCAGTTGTCCTTCCAGGCAGACTGCACGCTATCTCATGCGAATCCTTCATATTTTATAAAAATTGAACTCGACCGAATCGACCAAAAAAATATTGCTCTAATAGTTTAGACTTATATTACAAGGTTTTCTGACCCGCTAAACTATTAACTATATTTAAATCTATTGAACTTATTTTATCTCGTATTTTTATCTTTCTAATAATATCTTTGTGTTGCTATCTTAGTAATGAGTCCATTATAATAATAATGTTATTGTTTGAGGTATAAACAATAGGAATTAATTAATTCGTACGCGACAATTTTATTTTTATGCAGAAAATTGTTGCCGTGATGACAATTTTATGGGAGATTTGGAGAAGTTTCGAAGTTGTAAATCCTATTTTTAGAGCTTATAATTTAAATTAATTATCTAACAATTTTAAATCGATAAAGTCTTCGATGCTTTATTGTTTTTCGCGATGTAATGTCCTAAAATCAATAAAAACATTGTAAAAACATGCAGTTTGAAGCGTATATATGAAAAATTTACGTTTTGTATGGAATAATATTATATTTACAGTATTAATATTCATATAAAACATTAAACTCAAGATTCGTTGAACGATAAATTTTATTAAAAGCCTTCTAAATTTAATAATATGAGTCACATCGAGAACAGAAACACGCTTAGAACGTTTAAAGACATAATTCAACATGCTGCTCTTTAATGAGATTTTTTTTTCTTTTCAAACAACCCCTCTAGGGCTCATTTACCGGGCCTTTTTCGTATATTAGAAGCAAAGAATCATCACGGAGGGGGCCTTAATTATCAATTTTCCTTATCATACAAGGAATAACTCATTAGTTCAATACTGTTATTCACTCCTTATCAGTCCCCATACCCTCCATCCTAACTAATAGTTAACTTTCCTCCCCTGGTAATTACTTTCTTCTCCCCATCTCCTATCATTTCTACTCTGAGAATCATACAGATTGTCTAATTTCAAACTACATATTTAGAACTTAAATCATATATAATCTTACACAATTAAAAGCGATATAAATCTATATTTTTATAAGTTATATAGAATTAAATCACTCGTCTAAATATCGAAAATTCGAAAGAATTTAAAGTAATAAAGAAAAGATTCTTCCTGAGGATAGGTAAAAGGATACAAGGGAGAAGGAAAAAAAGGAGTTCTTGACATGATTTATGGGTTTATACGAGAAGAGATAGAAGTCAATTTATAATCTGTAAGAATTGTAAAAGCAAAGTAAAATTACACAGGAATTGTAAAATTGAGATAAGAAGTGAAGTGTAGAGAGTTTTTATATCGTCATTTAAATTTTTTTCTCCTTCTTCTCACTCTTTTCTGTTGCAAAAGGACTTTATACCTTCTTCGTCCATTTATCTTCATTTATCTTTGTGTTGCGACTATTCTGCTACAAACAGAAAAGCCAAATTTCTTTTTTTAAACTTTCCTATATTTCAATTAAGCCCGTATGAAATTCGGTATTAACTTGAAGATGATTTTTTTTTTCTTTACAAGAATCGATTTCATATTGTCTTTATTGTTGAAATTTATACGAAATGTTTGACTTTTATTGATATTTATGTGAAGTTTATCCGAATATAGGAACGTTGTCTGTTTATTGAAAAATATATAAAATGTGACTGATATAAAAATAAGTTTTGCATCAATTTTTTATTTAAAAAATGATATGTTTTTAAGTAAAAATTTATAAAAAAGTATCGATTTACTTGTATAAATAACCTGTATTTTTTATGATTTTTATATGCAAAAATTGATATTTTTACGTACAAATTTATACAAAAATGATAATTATCTATACTAACTTTATTAAAACTGAAAATATTGAGGTTATACATACATAATTTTATGATATTGTAATCGTTAAAGATGACTAGTTAAATTGGATGGAGGCCCAACTTCCTTTGCAGATACTCGTAGACGATAGAATATTTATAAGGGATTATCGAGCAAAGTAGTGCATCTAAACTACTGTTATAGCTACTAAAAATAATGGTTATATAATTGTGGATTCACTGCAATAACAAGAGAAAGCCCTTGAGAGAGAGAGAACTGTCGATACTGCAGCATTCTTATCGACTTTATTTTCGCAAAGAATGGTAAAAATAGGCCAAAGCTTGACTCGGAAATTCACTTATTTCAAAGCTAATGTAAAATTATAACCTTCTAGTCGAGTCACAACCGTTAACGATGTTATACCCTTGATTTTACCTCCAACTTTTCGTGTGTAAATTGTACAAAGAAAATGTGTAAACATTTAGGTCATGGACATAACTCGTAATGGCAACTTTTCATTGAACTGTCACTTCCTAGATACGCTCTGATGACTAAATTTATTTATTAATATGTTAATAGGATGTTTAACCTTTGAGGAGGCCCCGGAAATTTCAGTATAGTGGCCCCCGTCGGGATAAATCATTATTGGAGTCGTTGCTCCTAGACTTGT